TAGAACTGTGAGAAATAAATTTCTATGGTCTACACCCCACCCAGGTTATATGATATTTTGTCTAGTAATGAGAATACACAAAGGTATCTGGCAGTCTGTCTGTTTAATCAAAATGCCCAGAAGAAAGCCTATCATCCAAAGAACACACACTGTTGCCCACAGTGTCTCCAATATGTAAGAGATGGAACTTGCAAGAATTCTCAGAAGAATAGTGAAAGGGGGTATAGATATATTTTCAAAAATTTCTCTCCCTTCCTCATACCTTTCCTTCCTTCCTCCCTCCCTCCCTCCCTCCCTCCCTTCCTCCCTCCTTCCCTCCCTCCTTCCCTTCCTCATAGTTAGACAAGGTCTGACTATGTAATCATGGCTGTCCTGGTATTCACATCCCAGGCTGGTCTTGAACTCACAGAGATCCATCCATCTGTCTCTGCCTCACAGGTAGTGGTATTAAAAGGATGAATCATTATACAGCTTATTTATATAATTTTGAGGCAATGTCTCACTCTGTAGTCTAGGCTAGCCTGGAATTTATGGCCATGCTCCTGCCTGAGCTTTCTTCTTGAGTGCCTGGATCACAGGTGTGAGCCACTATGCTCTGCAATTAAAGGTCAGTTTAGGGTTTTGATGTGGAGTAAATGCAAACTTTCTATTTGGTGGCTGATTTTTACCCCTGAGGACAGAGCTCATTAACCATCCCAAAGCACAGAAGTGTTTGCTTTAGGATTTATCATCGACAGCTATACAAATAGCTCTAGTTGCTCACTTCTTTTATTCAAAGCACCCTGGAAATCTCATTAAGAGGGATTAATCTTGGATTCTGTTTGGTGTTCTTACTTTAATAAGCTTGTAGGAAAACCAATAAAAACACATAGGTACAAGGAAGAGCTAACACAATCAAGGGGTTAAACCCCAAATCCCAGAGGAATAAGTGATCACACTATTGTGAAGTCACTCAGCTTTGCTAGGAAATGTGAGGGACCCAATGGATGCTGAGTACCAAAGGCCTGGATTCTAGTCTTGACTCTGCTAACTTCCTATATGGCTCTGCAAAATTCTTAACTCACAGTTTCTTCAGAGGGATAGTTAATGATGTCTATTGCAAGAGTCAATATATTAGGCGGGATGTGATAATAAATATAATATCACTTTGCAAAGCAAAGCAATAATTAAACAGCCTTTGTCCTGTAATGTCATCATATTAGAATTAGCAAAACAGCTCTTAGTCTATGCTGAGTATCTACTGTCTGTACCTGAAGGAGTATTGTTTTAAATTTCAAGTGAATTTTTAAAACTGTATTTAAGAATCCTTTTAAGTTTAGAATTGTATCAACTCAGCAAAATGATTTAGGCAGCTCTAAAAACTCTTGACAATAACTCTTCCATTAAACAACCTGTGAGCTATCATGTAAATGCAATAGGAAGTCATCAGGACCATGGCTGCAGTCTGGTTCCATTTGAAGGGAGGGCTAGTTGACTTCTTGAAGACATGAAGAAGCAAAAAGATTTTTTAGTAATCCCCACAGAGGAACCATAAGCAGTCAAGTGGATTATAAATAAGGCAACTATTTAATTGGTTAGGTAATTTGGGTCCCCTTTAAGAGCAAGGCATGGGACTACAAATAATTACATAGGTAAATACACATACACCAAGGCTGTGACTGAAAAGTCAGGACAAATGCTTCTTAGTTTTGATTGGCTCCCACCCCAAGGTGAATGCTGTCAGAGTAAAATCATTAGCAATAGGATTTGCCGTGTCAGTCTTTTCCCTTTGTTACATTGAGCAGATGTGAATAGTGGAGAACTGTGGCAATCCCAGAAAGCTAGTGTGTGGAGAGCTAACAGGGGCAATGGCAGGTGGGAGGAATACAGGAACCATCTTCAGATTTCTCTGAAGAGACGCATCAAACAGTTGGATGAACTGTTTTTTTGCTGAGAGGCAGCAGAACCAGACACACCAGTCCGGAATGTCAAGTGCAGAGATGAGTGACTGCAAAGAAAAGCTTCAGGCCAGTGTCAAAGAGTCTACCAAATGGAGTTGCAAACAGCTTCGAGTTCTGCAAGCAAAGGCTATAGCCATAAATCAAAGAGCACTCTTCCAATGCTGGCAGTGTGGGAATGACTGGCCACTTGTCACGCTTCAGTGTCCTCAACCGTACTTCACACATGGAGCATAATTCCTGTTAGCCCTGTGGTCTGAGAGTGATGGTGGCAAGGGCAGGATTTTCCCAGGCATTGAATGGGGAAGGCTGTACACACCCAGGTCTGCAGATATGATGATGCATTTCTCCCCACTGTGTTCAACTAAAAATTTCCCTTTGAGGTGCTTGTTTGCATGATTTATATTAAAGGCTTTGTTTCGAGCATCTCGCCAGCACCTGGGTCTGTGAACAGCAGCATCATATTCCTCATAGAGTAAGAAATCTGGACATTTTAGTAAGCAGCTTCCTGGGATGATAAATCAACAGTCACAGTGTCATATTTTTTAGGATGACCCTAAATTCTGAAAAGGAAGGAAAGAAATGAAAGAAGGAATAAATAAATAAAGACCAGCAACCTCTGCAGGCAAGGGCAAAGGAATTGCTGATTGGGAAGACTGAAGGGTGCTACAAGCAGAGGCGGCATTGCTTTGGTCGAGTGCCCTTTCTGAGCCTTGAAGAGTGTGAAGGATTGAGGGGGGAGTATCCCAGTGGCAGGAGTGGCCCTCTGTGAGTGTTGGACAGTTGGCTGTAGAATCAAAGTGCCACTGGTTTGCTTGATGGATCTGCTGTCTCTCAAGTAAAAGATTCCTTTTGGTTTTTTTTTTTTTCTTTTTTTCTTATAGATAGTTCTAGAAGGATGGAAATACAGTTCAAACCACTTGCCTCACATGCTGGAGGCCCTAGGTTCAATTTCAAAGACTGAAGAAAAAAATTGAAGTTTTTCATGTGAAGGTAAGAAGCGTACTTATATTTTGACAGCTATCTTCTTTTAAAATATGTACTTGTCACTAAAAGAAATGGTGTCAAGTTGACATTGGTTTCATGTTTTCAAAGAGTTGTAGAAATAAAGGGCCTAACACTTCTTTTTCATTGACTGTGAGTCCATTTGCATTATGTGTTATTCATTTATTGTATAAAGTTCTATGTTATCAATTCACAAAATAGTCCTGGAACTTCCATTATTCACTGAAGCTTCTGATAGAATGAATACATTTAAAAACAGTCATGTGATCATATTCATATAAGCAAATAACAGTAGACATAGAAGCCGGTACATTATTATTGCCAAGGTACTCATCCAGTCTTGAAAAAGTACGAATCACACAGTTAATTCCCAAGACATAAAAGGGATTTTTAAAAATTAATTATTTTCTTATTTCTGTCAGAACTACTCTTACGATGGAGAAATAGTCATTTTTGTTGACCACATTAATTTTATATTGACCCCATTCTGATAAAAGAATTGGTGAGTACTCAACTATCAAATTTTCCAAGAATCATTTTATTTCCAGGAACAATAGTCTTTCTGAATCCTGTTCGGTCCCTCGTGCTAATTAAAAGTGCAAACATATGCCATTTTATGCTTTTCGGATTGTATTTCAAGCAAGTAGACTCCCAACCTTCAGGGGCACAGCAAACACCTCTCAATGTGCTTTTGACAGAACCCTACCCTGCTGTGTAGGGGCAGACTCTTCAGGCTCCGCTTCATCTGCATGTTTCCCCAGTGCACACGATTAATGACTGTTCCATAGGTGCAAGTTTAATTTTGGATTTAATGTCCCAAGCTTCCTTTCTTTTTTATTTTAAGGAAAAAAATAATTTCTTTTTTAATAATCTTTTATTCAGAGAGTAAGAGACCAATCTTGATTAATTACTGTGTAGCCCACTAAAATGCTGCAATACTTAGGTGAGGCCCTAGCCATGATTAACATCTTAAGAGATTATTACAAATCTGGACTTTCCGGGGTGCACAACCCAAGGTTGTCTCTTTGGTACAAGTGTAAATAACAACCAACTGCTTAATGACATAATGTGAATTTTTATAGGCTCATCTACTTCTCTAGCCAGATTGCTAGAGATAAGTGAAGATAAGTCTTCACTCACTCCTCAGAAATGTTCAGTACACAGGTTAATTTCTCACTGTTGATTTTCCCCACTGTGCATCTTGACTACTATAAGATCACTTGACCTCTAAAAGTGATCTCAGTTACAGTCAGTTTAAAAGTAACCGCTATCCAAAAAAAAAAAAAAAAAAAAAAAAGCTTGAAAAAAAAAGAGAAATCAGCAAAGATACTAAAGTAGCCCTTCCTGATTCTTAGGGTAGTTTAACTGCATATTTTAGGCTCTGGATGTTTGAGCATCTTGAGGGAAAGTACAGGATTCTTACCCAGTGATTGAGATGCCGACGTTAAAAGCCCATCCAGGAAACTGGACTTCTCTGGGCTTTTTCTATTTATCTTTAAAAAAAAAAACAAAAACAAAAACAAGAAACAAGACACAAGCAAAGAACCCAAAAACCAAGCCAAATAAAAAAAAAGACAACAAAAAGGGATTGACTCTTTTGAATCTTCCTGAACTTCAGTGAGCTCTGCCCCAGATGTGGAGATTGTCTTGACATATATATTCTTATTAAAAAGGAAACTATATTAAAAACAGTAAAAACACAGTTTGAACAGCCTGTACCCCAAACAGCTAGAGCATGTAGAGTGTGATTGTTTTCTGTCTACAGACCCATCTTCGTTCCTGAAGAGTCTTCTCCCCAGGCCATTATTATTGAAACACACGAAAAAAACCCTACTTTAAGGATTAAATATTCAATTTGGTTAATTTTGAAGTTATTTGTTTTCTCACACCCCTAAAATATTGCCCATTAGCAGAAAATGATGTCAGAAGGGCTTTATTAATAGTAATTCCTTTCCCGGGCTTCCAAATAAAATGACATCATCATTATTTTCAGCAATGGGCATGGGGGGGGGCGTCCAAAACTAATAATTGAATAACACCACTTGTAAAGTTGCCAGATTAAACAGATTTGAAGTGAATGAAACAATTTCCACATCACTTGGAGTGAAGATTTATTTAAGACAGAGTAAAACAAATTACATGGACCCCACTCCAATGCATTCTTCAATAAAGTTATAACTGGACAAGCATCATAATTTTCTTAAAATTTAAAAATAATAGAAAAGTAAAAATAGATTTCCCAGAGAAATTTCTCCCTTAACTGTGTGTATGTGTGTGTGTTATTTTTTTTGCTACTTCTGTGACATCTTTTTTTGGAGTGACTGGATATCAGAGTGAGTTTTTCGTTTATTTGTTTGCTTGCTTGTTTTTGTTTTTAACTGGATTCATCCAAGGACGCTGAATTAGATCGTCAGCTGACTGGTGGAACATGAACTCCTATGAGCCATGATAGATAATATAGACCCTGAAAGGAGAATGGCAAATGTGAATGAGAGCATGTAATGTTAAGTCTTAGATGCCATGTACCCTTGTTTAAAGAGAAGACAAAAGGAAACAGGATGGTATGAGCACTCTAAAATCATCTGCAGCACTTTAAAGGGTTAAACCTGCTTAACCCATTCTTAGTTCAGAGAATGGCACCAAAGAGTACAGCTCACCCCTCAAGCGTGGCTAGTTCTAGACCTGTGGTAGCCTCAGGTTGCCAGAGCAGTCATGCGCTCTGTTTCCACCCCCCTCCCACCCGATTAGTAGGATCCATTCATAGCTACTCACTACTGCAGGATTTGACCTGAGAAATGCTAGGTTCGATTAACTCAGCAGTCGTGGCGAACAGTCCCTAAATAATCTTTACCCTTGGCCAGCAAGGGAACTGCTAGTCCCAAGTTCTCAGCGGCAGCTGGTGAGGCTCTCAGCCAAGTTCTTCAGATGCAGGAACTTCTCCCGGACAGCCTATGTCGACATGGCATTTACACATCTTTCAACCAGGCTTCCTGGATCTAGGAAATGTTATTCCTGACTCCTTTGACCCAGATGCCCGTGACAACACAGTTCCCAACCTGTAGGTAATCACTCTTCTTTCTTTTCTAGGAGTTGGCATGGTGGCTATTTTTTTCTAAAACAGTCATGTTGATGTGTTCAAAAATCCATTGCTGAGTCTCAGAGAGAGGGTCACATCTAGCCATGAAAATCTTCTTCTCTGCAGGGTTGCAGTCCATGCAGCTGTTGGTCACAGGATGAAACAGTGTCCTGTCCTAGACAGATCACAAAGAAAAGATGGACATAACATGTGTCGAATGCTACAGCCCAGTTTATACATGTAAAACATGTTTGTAATTGAGAATACACCCAGAGTGTAACTAAACCCACTGTCCAGCCAAAGAATATGAGATATCAAAGGATCCACAACTTCCAAGACAACTTAAGCTGAGACAAAGCATTAATAAATTTATTTCCCAAAAGGAACCATTCACTCATTTCTAGTTTTGTAGTCAGTATTTTTGCTGCATGTTTATCTGCTTACAAGTATAAAGGGCATCTAGTCATTTGCATAAAGTATGACATGATCACACACACACACACACACACACACACACACACACACACACGCAGTGATGAGGCACAAGAAATAATAAACAAACCCAACTAGAAGAGTGAAAATTTCCCTATCTTACACGGGTTATCTATTGAAAAAGACAAAAGAAATCCATGTTGAAATTGAAATGCCAGGCGTTCAGCTGGAAGATTAATGAAGGGGTGGGGACAAATGACACGTGGGCAATAGCTGAGAGTAAAAAGTCAGCTTTGTTAGTGATTAGGGGGTCAGTGTCTTCGACCCCTTCAGCTCAACATCCTGGATGTTGCAGGAGTGTAGACAGCATGGTTCTAACATTTTGTAAACTGGAGGAGGTACCATTTGATTACAAGACAGTTATGGTAGATACATTAAATCACCTAAGCACTTGAGACAGTTCACAGCTCAGTGAATAAGAGGTGCTCACTTCCAGGGCACAAAGTATAAGTGCCCAGCAAACTCCTTATCTGAACACACCCCTTTTATTGCGCACCTGGGAAGAGAAGGTAAAGCCGAAAGGACATGAACCACCCTTAGTATTAAACACTCACTCAAATGGTGTTTATAGTTTTTCTTAAAAAGTATCAATAATTTGAGAAAAGGTCCCCAAATCACCACTTAGGTTTTAGCACTGAGTAATGCTTTATTATTTAGCTTAGAGAGTGTTTGGAGTTTCTCTTGTTCTGGTTGCTTTCCTTCAAGGGAGGAACAGTAAATATGCAGTACTTTTAGGATTAGGATTTCTCAGCCACCCTTTGTAAACATTTATGGGTTCCTGGCTTTTAAGACTCAATCAAGCCAATATTTAATGTCCTTGAAGGACCGGATGTTTGCATAAAGGGAAAGGAGAAATAAGGAAGGAGAAAGGCAAGGTGTGGGCAATTTAGCAGGAGTTTCTGTTTTTAGTGTAAACAAAGGACTGTGCCTGACACAAAGATTTCTTCTTCTACTCTTTAAAGTTAAAGTTTGGTGTGGATTTTGTGAACTTGAACTCATAAGTCTCCTTACAATCCTTTCCAACTTCTTCACTAACTCCTCTGCAGTCTAGAACCAGGAGAAGGCTCTAGAAACTCTTCTCCTCTGTGGGGGGAGATGGCACATGCCAGGAAGATGGAGACTGTTTTTAGCTCCCCACCACAACCTTCAAGACCACTTGGACTCCTAGCATACAGATTCTTCCCAGTTACTGTGACTCCTTGCATGGTGTTTTCCTTCCTTGTTTCTCCCTTCCCTCTGGCGTTTTCTCATCACCCTTCACCTTCAATTTCCAGCAGCTTAGCTACATGGATCTAATATATTTTATTAGGTTTTCAGCCTTTGTGGTTTCAGTTTTTATAGTGCTGGGAATCAAACCCATTCAAATTGTGGGCATTCGAGGCAAGTGCTGTACCACTGAGTTGTATTTCAAATTCCTTCAAATAGTATTCTTTACTGTTATTTTTTTACATTTCTTTATTATGCAGTGTGTCTGTGTGTGCATGCCACAGTGGATATATGCAGGTCAGAGGACAGTGTACAGGATTCATTTTTCTCTGTCCACGATGTGGACTCCAGGGAGGAAACTCAGGTTGTCAGAATGGTGGCAAGCGCCTTAACACACTGAGCCCTCTCTTGGGCCCCTCAAAGATCATTCTTAAAACTGTCACGTTCAGAAAAATTCTGTGTGACCTGCTAAATCCGAACTTGCTCTGTTGCATGTCCGTGTACCTCCTTCCAGTCTTTAATACCTGCATTTCTTCCTACTTCCTTTACCAAGAGCTCAGGCAGACCTTCACACACCCCCACATTCCCCTTAAAAACATGCATCTCCATGAAATCTAAAATCAGCAAGAAAAAACCCCATAAGTTCTCTTGATTTCTTAGCTTCATCAGTGCCAGGATAAACACAAAAGCAAACCAGGTTTTCAAAGCACCCTACTTTTCTGCACATGCATTTCTGAGCCATAGGTGTTCATAGTTTCCAAACCCCTTGTGGAAACACATGTTCTGACAAATACAAGTGTGCTCATAGGTACAGCCAGGCAGGCTATGGCAAATTTAACACAACTGGAACAATCCAGAATGTTTTCTGTGCAAGTCCTTATGAGAGATGAAAACTGGGATTCTCTGTATCTGTCTACATCAGGGAAGCCAATATAAAATGAGAGGGCGAAGTAGACACATCCCCAAAGTCTTTCTCGGTCATAAAATTGAATGAGCACTTTGTTCCAAAGTTTGCCTGTGACAGAGACAAATGACAGGGTGTTGAACTAGAAGCCCTCCTAATGTCCAGTAGATCAACTGATTGTTCTCTGGCCACAGACTAAACTCTGTTCAACCTTGTCTTTGGAGTGCCCAGCAAGGCCACAGAAGTGAAGCTTCTGGGGACATTTTCAGCCTTCAACAGAGTGTACCTTTGTCACTTTTGACTTTGGGGGTGACATAATTGCTATCTATCAGCTTCTACTGGACCAGACTTTTGGATTACTAAAGGTCTTTATCGATGCATTTGCTAGCTGAAATTGTCAGTGGAGCGAGCAATCATCCACTAAATGTCTTTTCTTCCGTGACAGCCCTCCTCTCCCCTGCCCTTCATCCCACCGGCCATGGTTTACAGAGCAGCATCCCCGGTCCCCCATTGGATTGTGAGTACTTTGGAAGATGTGATGTCTTCTCCATAGCCTGTCTTTGCTTTGCTCTTGGTCCAATTTTGACACAAGGCATGACATAGCCCTGCCTGTTCAGTGTTACCTTTACTTCACCTAGTCTGAGAAAACTAGAAATCACTGAGCATCCTTAGGAATGCCTAAGGATGACTGAAGAGCCCTTCATAATCAGTTCACAGTGCCAACCAATCAGTGCATGCAGATGAACATGGGCGGGACTTACTGGGTAGTTCCCTGAAAGTCATGCAGCTTCCACAGCTCACCACAGACTTGACTGGCAGGCATCTCTGTGATATCTGGTGTGCTCCCACATCTGGACTGCACTTTATTAGTTCTCATATTTACATGGAGTCTGAGCTTTAAAGAACGAGTGAGCTTCTCCAAACATTCCAGCCTGGGCTCGGGGTCATGAAAGAATCAAACACTGAAGACACGAAGACCGTAAAACAGACATGAGAGTGCATGGCTCTCAGGAAGAAGATTCCCAGAACAAAACATGACACAGTTGGAGGGGCAGGGCAATCCTGGGAAAAGGCCCGAGATTTGCGGCTGTACAGGGAGCTGGATGAATTCTAGTCATCCACTTGCCCCCTGTCTGCCTGTGGAGAGAGCGCTAAATTCTGTGAACCTTGGCTCACCTACTTGTAAATGTAGATAAGGTACCCAAGTTTGTTACTGGAGGATAAAATGTAGGATGACTAGCTCCATGTGTCAAGTATAAGTGACTAAGTAATAACAACAATTTCTCCTTCTTTCTTCTTCTTCTTCTTCTTCTTCTTCTTCTTCTTCTTCTTCTTCCCCTAATTTATTTTTAATCAGAAAGCATCCACAGTTCTGAAAATTAGAATGTACTAACCATCTGGTCTGAGAGCAGCTAGCTATTCAACACCAAATTATATTTTCTGACATCCTGGCAAAATAGAGCTTGAAAAAAGCACCCTCTGACTCAATCACTTGTCCACACTGTACAATACTGCCTCTCACTTTAATTGAAAGAATTTAGGAAACAAAGGTGAGCTAGGGCTAGCAAGGTAGCTTTGCTGGGTTAAGTACAGTGGGAGTTTTGGCTTCTCTCTAGCTTGAGATATGACTATCCTTTCAGGTCCTCAGCTTTCCAGAAAGGTGGCCCTTTGAGTACATTATTCAGACAGGTCAACCGAGTTCAACAGATATTTATAAAATGCCCTTTATATTGTGGTTAAGGTCAGACATAGGAAGATATCCTCTAACTCAAGAAATAGAGATCAATAGATATGTAATAAGTGTTTGAAGTAGAAAATATTAGTAAAATGTAATGTAAATGAAGGAATAACACATTTATGCATTTGAGCTATTTAAAAAAATTAATGGGTAGATCCTGTTGGACAGGGACTCTAACACACACACACACACACACACACACATTGTGTGTGTGTATCACAGTTTCTTGCCATCCTTTGACAGGTACCTAGGTTGATTATATCTCTTGACTATTGTGACCAGGGTCACAATAAACATGGTGGTATATGCTGACTTAATATCCTTTGGGTATATAACAGACACACTACAGCTAGATAATGTAGTAGTTATATTTTTGGTTTTAGGAGGAACCTCCTTACATATTTCCCCAGTAGATGGGCTAGTTTGCATTTCTGCCAACAGTGTTTTATTGTTACCCTGTCCTCACCAGCATTTGTTTTCCTGATGAGAGCCATGGTGACTGGGATAAGAGAAAATTTCACTGTAGCTCTGATTTGCATTTCTCTGGTGGCTAAGGATCATCATTTATGAAAATTACTTCATAAATTTGTTGGGATTTGTACTTTGAGAAGAATCTCTTCAATTAATTTGCCTGTTTATTGATTTGATTGTTATTTGCTTTTTGGTGGTTTACTTTTTGGACCTTTTATATTTTCTAGATATTAATCTTTTATACACAAATAGCTAGCAGATTTTTTTCTCATTCTGTAGAATGTCTCTTTACTCTGACAATTGCTTCCTTTACTGTGCAGAAGCTTTCTAATTTGATGCCATCCATCTGTCAGTTCTTGCTATT